CCACATAAATTAACCAAAATTCCATCATATTTAATGACTGGGCTCAAATTTTTTGAAAGTTTTGGACGTTATAGTGATCCAATCCTCCGCATATTTTGTATTTACGTTTTCTAATAAAAGAGACAGTACAAACTTAATTTCATAGAAATCTGATGAAATTTAGTGTTTCCGCCCACAAAGTTGGAAGGCGTGGCAATTATTCCATCTCGACAAAATTTCATAATTCCCTATTTCTAAGTAAAATTAGAGCACATGTCAAGTTTCAACGAATTTTCGTGGATGTTTAATATTATTTCCACCTGCTTCCATATAGTCGAAACACTGTACGTCGGTTAGATGTCAATATGTCTATATGTTTCTCTGATCGATACCGGCCAGCAATCATAAACATTTCAGACTTTTTTGCCGACGAATCTGATGGATATTTAACAGATGTCTGGCAATTTTTCCAGCTGGGAAGTAACATGATTTTTCTAAGAGTGTCGTTTTTGGTTTTTCCATGTATGCGATTTCAAATTTTGAACAGAAAAACTATTTTTTTTTAAATAAACTTAACATAAGTCTAGTCGCACTTTCATCAACATACGTTTCAATTTCATTGTTGTAGTAACTGTCGGGTTCCCAATATCGACTCTGGTTAGATTGCATTCCGATTACGAATACAGGGCTTTCAGCGGAGTACCTTTCAAATCATTGGAATTAACTAAATTTAATAAGTTAACAAGTATTTACTAACATTTTTCATTTTAAAATCACTCAAGTTTGTGCATTTTTAAATTTACCGAACTTGTTTATTCAAATTATCGTCGACAAAAAACCCAACCATGTGCCACAATCATAAGTGTTTCCTAATTGCAAATTCTTGCCGGCAAAATTTTTTCCAGCTTGAATTTGCAACTTCTCTCCAAGAACTAGCCTTTCTACTTGTGATTTATTTACATAAATAAAACATGTGAAATTTAGTTGAAACAGTTAAGCCGTTTTTTGCCAATTTAGCCGGTTGGTCCAAAAAGTTCTGGCAACACTGGCTTCAACAGTCGCAATGGCTGTGTGAGCAGAGCACTGGTGTGCCATTCGAGAGATCCGGAAAATTATCTTTTTCCTTTTCTTATTTAATTTTTTTCCTTTTTCAATTTTTATAAACTGTCTATATTGAATTTTTTTGCCTTTTTGATCAAATTTCTTTTGATTTATAGATTTTATTATATACTAAAAATAACTTGATTGTATAATAATAAAAACCATGATACAAAAAAGAAGGTAGTTTCAATAAACAACTTTTGACGGATAATACAATTTTTTTAAGGTTTCATAAATTGTGAGTATTATCAACGGCCTTGCGACTTTGATAATATTAAAACAATAAATCGGAGTATTTTCCTTCCCATATTTATACCAATGTAATAATATTTCAAATCAAAACCCATTACCAGTGCTTGGTATTTTTTTTACTTACGTAGCTCGCACTATTTTTATTAGAAATATAAAGCAGAGACCCAGAATAATAATTATTTTATTGTTGGATTTTTAAATAGGTCATCAAAATTTTCGTAAGAATTATAAGTCTTTTGATAATAATTATGCGTGAGAAATTTTTTAAGTCATCGATAACTATTCTTTTCAAAATAATTATCAGCGAGATAAATATTTTAAGTCTTCAAAGACCTNTCTTTTCAAAATAATTATCAGCGAGATAAATATTTTAAGTCTTCAAAGACTTTTATTTTGAGGCTTATTTTGAGAAATCTTATCTTAATATAATGATTATTGATTGACTTTTATTCGTTTCTCTTATAATATTTAGTTATGTCTCTGATATAAAGTATTAAAGACGAGTTCATGGTAATTGCTCGTTTTATTTTATAATAAAAACCACGCGCAATGCTGTTTTTTTTCATTTTCTTATTTCTTGCGATTTAAAAATCTAATTCTAAAGAATATTCTTTCCAAATAAAACCTTTTTATATTTTGGCTCAAATTTAATTTTAATTTCTCATGAGATTTTGCAAAAAATTAGGGTTTGTGATTAGCGTATCACCATTAACTTTCACAAATTTTGAATTTAAAGTTTCTAATATATGCAAAAACCCTGAAGTCGACTTGAACACACCGCTAAACAATTAACATATCGTCGTTTAAAGTACAAAGTCGGAAACTTAGTCATCAACCCCATTTACGAAATTATGTCGCCGGCATAATTTTCAAGTCCATCATATTCCACATCTTTGAATGTACTGATAAAATCTTCTGCTTTGAAAAAAAATTNAGTACAAAGTCGGAAACTTAGTCATCAACCCCATTTACGAAATTATGTCGCCGGCATGATTTTCAAGTCCATCATATTCCACATCTTTGAATGTACATTGTCATTAAATGGAACTACCTTCTTTTTTGTATCATGATAAAAACGATCTAATGTATTTGCCTGAACGATTTTCATATAAATAAAATAAAATTTTATTAACGAAAGGTTGATTTTGAAGAACAAATAGAAACGAAGATAGTTGGAAGGGTTGATTCCAGTGAAGAGCAAAACATTTATGAAGAAGCAGGAGTAGAAAATTCACAGAACCTTAGAACTTAGGTGTGGTAGAATTGCTTGCAATAATTACTTAAGTGGCGACTTAGAATAAACAGTAAAGTTAGTAATGTCGCGAGATGATAATGAGAAATGGTTGAAATCAATGAAATGTGAATTTGAATCACTTATGTCAAAAGGAACTTGGATTTTGGAAGATAGACCAAAAGATGCACCAGTTATTAAAAGTAAATGGATATTTACTGTAAAAGGAGATCAATATGGCAATATTGAAAGGTACAAATCAAGATTGGTCGCAAAAGGATGTAGCCAGAAGTATGGTGTTAATTATTCTGAAACTTTTTCCCCTGTCACTCGGTACTCAACAGTACGGTTAGTCCTAGCATTAGCTGCAGAATTTGGACTACATTTACAACAACTTGATGTTACAACTGCTTATGTAAACGGATATATTGACACAGGTATATATATGGACCAACCTGAAGAATTCGTGAGTACGACATTTCCGAATAAAGTATGTAAATTACGAAAGGCGTACGGTTTAAAGCAATCTGGAAGGAAATGGAATGAGAAGTTGGATAAAATTTTGCAGCAAATTGGTTTTTCTCGGAACAAAGTAGATCCTTGTGCGTATACAAGATACACGAAGGAGCACAAGGTTATTCTAATAGTACACGTTGATGATATACTTATTGCATGTTTAAAGGAGGAAACCTTAAATTTAATTAAGCAAGAAATAAGTTTACGAATTGAAATTGTTGATAAAGGATCCGTAGGTCATTTCCATTCCTTTGAATTGAATGGGTTACTGCATACTCAGAATAATAATAATAGATTGGCGCTTACACATATGTCAGTGTTTGGCCGAGTTCTCCTCCGATTTGTGGCGCGTTGATGTTGTCACACAAAGGGGAGGGGCCTACGGTTCTACGCCGACTCCGAACGGCGATTGTATTTTTATGAGAAGCATTGTATTTTTATGGCAGAAACACACTCGGAGGTTTGCCATTGCCTGCCGAGGGGCGACCACTGTTAAGAAAAAACCTTTTTTCTAAATTTGTTTGTGATGTTGCTCTGACCAGGGTTTGAACCCAGACCCCGCGAAGTGGAAGCGCGCACTGCTTACCACTACACCCCAGCGGCTGCATACTCAGAATATTTTAAAAAAATCTAATTAAAAAGCTCAAAATTTTTATGAAACTTTGTCGAATTTTGATAATTTTTGTACAAAGTTTGAAATTTTGACTTACGTGGTCTTTGTTAGATAACGAGTCACACATTCATAAAAAGTAATATACATTAAATAATCGAAAGTGGAATAGCCAAAGAAAGCTAAACTGTCTCTTCCCTTTTTATATTTTTGCCACTCCATCTACAGCTTTTGTTTTTCATATCCACGGTTTGTTTGAAGGTATTAGTATTACTTTTTATAATTTCATTAATTATATTATTATATTATTAATAAGGATGCCGGCTATGTTTATAGCACTAGTATATTCTATGTCCTTTGTGATAAACAAGTAGACAGGGAGAGGCTTAATAAATGAATAAAGAAAACACTGAAAATCGGGACTTAATCGGTACAAATATGTAAAATCGGGACGCTTGTATGCCCCGACTTTTGAAACATATTCAGCTGGACAATTTTCTCAAAATCGGTACTGTCCCGCCAAAATCGGTACGAATGGTCACCCTATTTACGCACCAAGATTAATTCGATCCATTTGCAAAATTTATCCACCAAAACCAGGAGGCACATGTTGACTTCTTTCGAGCGATGGGGTGGGCGGATGAAATCAACGGTAACGATTACCCATGGTCGTGAGCACTGCATCGTTTTCGGCCTTATACGGCGGAGAGAGGCACCCACGGACGTGGTTGCCCAATGTGCGGCACATTCCGGGCCAGTAGTAATATTGTTGCGCGCGTTCAAGGGCTTTCTGAATGCACTGAATTTGGTGACATTCCAAAAAGTCCGCTAGCTCTGTTCTTGCTCCTCGTTGAAGTGCGCTCTCTCTGTCTTTGCAGTTTATTGTGTAACAATTTCAGATACAGCGAGTTGAAATTTCGACATCACGGGGTATTCTCTGAGTCTTGCAAAGCCCTTGCACGGATCGCACGGGTAGAAAAGCTGTCCCATACGAAAACCGGTTTTTACAATGCAACCCGTGTAATCTGTGCACCGTGCAAGGGCTTTGCAATACTCAGAGAAAAGCCCTATTATGTGTATTAATTTTTATCTGACAAAACTAATATTTTGTGATGGAAGTACAAAGTGATTTACAAATATTGGTGTATCTCTATTTTCTTTGCTCAACTCGCTATGCAAGTTAATGTTCATACAATGCATAAGTACTTACGCTTTACTTCGCTAATTTAAAAAATAGTAAATCACATATATGTAGATGTATGTATTATATTTGTATACTGTTTTAATATAATTGTAATTTTTTGAATTTAGCAATTCCTGAGATTCAACACGCGGACATTTTAGAAAAACACAGCTTCGAATCAGTGCCACTAAAATATGAAATTATCGCCAAAGGGATCCCTAAACCGGAAGCTCTGTGGTATCATGACGGCAAGCCAATTCATGCTGACAATCGTGTGGCAACTTTTGTTGACGGTGTAAGTTTTACGTTTTTATAATTGTTTTTAAGGGATGTTAATATAACAGACTTTTACAGGACAAATATAGACTGGAGATAAAAGAACTTGAACTTTCAGACGCCGGTGAATATAAAGTAATAATCAAAAATAAATGTGGTGAAAAATCCTTGCAAGGAGTTCTTTCTTTATCTGGTACATATAAAAAAATTTCAAACCATCCTGAAACTTATAAAACAATACAAAATTATTTTCAGGTGTTGCAGAGTATCGAAAGCCTCTTCTGAAAAGTGGTTTACGCGATATTACTACTAATAAAGGGCACTCGTTAGCAATACCAATTGTATTCACTGCAGATCCTCAGCCTAAAATTACATGGCTCAAAGATGGGAAACCTTTGAAGGAACAAGACAATTGTAATATAAATGAAACTGTGAAGGATATTGAAAATGGTCTCAAGGAATACACGTATACCTTAAATTTCGATGAATGTAAGTAATATTGACATATATACTATACATATTATAGAAAACCAGTTTAAGTTTGCAACCTATGTTTTTGACGCGCTTTCTTCTTTGTAATATTCTTATTTCATTTTATGCGAGTGTCATTATTAACGCTGGCAAAGAACTTGCAAATTCCCTTTCGTAAGCAGAGTTTTATTACAACTTCTTTGCTTTCTATGGTCTTTGACTTTGCTCGGTAGCAAGTACTAGAAACACAAAGCAGAAACGAAAAACGCATACATCTCCAGTAAAAAGTCAGGACTAAAACGCAATTGCGGAATTCCTTCTCTAGTAAATGGAGCACCTTACCATCTCCATGATTTCCTTAATTATTTTTTATTTGAAAGGAACCCAATTGTGAAGCATTTCGTTTCCGCTTGCGGGAGAACAGCTGGAAGAAGGACTTATTTTTTATGCGTAACTTTTATATTATTATTATTAATAATAAAAAAGAAAAATTATACGTCGGATCGTGGCCGCTGTGGTGTAGTGGTAAGCAGTGCGCGCTTCCACTCCGCAGCACCTGGAATCAAGCCCTGGTCAAAGGAACATCGCAAACAAATTTAGAAAAAATGTTTTTTCTTAACAGCGTTCGCCCCTCGGCAGGCAATGGCAAACCTCCGAGTGTATTTCTGCCATGAAAAACAGCTTCTCATAAAAATACAATCGCCGTTCGGAGTCGGCGTAAAACTGTAGGTCCCTCCCCTTTGTGTGACAACATCAAGGCGCACGCCACAAATCGGAGGCTCGGCCAAGCTCTAACATATTATTATTATCTAACGCAGGCTTACCCAAATCGGGTGCCGCAAACGTATGCCTGGGGTGCCGCTAGTGGCTAGAGTAGTCGTGCGGGCAAATTCTTTAAGCTTCCCATACACAACGCAAGCGGTTTGATAAAACTTCAACATGGCGGCCAGAGAATCAAAAAATTTAGATTTGTATTAAAATTTTTAAAGCTATAGACAAATTTGTACAGAAAAATGGTTAGAAATGGAGCAAGTGTGCGGATATTTGCTGAAATTAAAATATATCTCTAGTTTTTTTCTACCACGTCGAGAGTTTGTTTAATTGGAGACATCTATATTTTAGAATGTCTAGCAATTTGCATGAAAACCCCATAAATATACAAAGTAAATCAGAAAAACAAAGTAAATCGAAGTTAACGCTAAGAAAATTGATAAAAGTTAATTTCTTAGCGTTAACGCGCGTTAGCAGCGTTAACTCTGAGGAACATCCTCAGCTGGATAACAACCCGTTTTCATGTGACCCGAGAAGTAAACCTACTTGGATGACAAATTAAGTTTTTGAAAACCTTCTGGACATCAGTGAAGACAGCACTTTGAATATTAAATACTACGAAGGGAGCCAAGAGAGTTCTGTATGCAAGTGTATGCCGAAAACACTGCTTTTGGCAAAATTTGCATAAAAAATACTAGTGACTTTTACTTTTACATTTATATGTGACCGCTGAAACTCAATGCCAGCGAACGACGAATTTTTCGGCGCGAATGTTCGCTGTAAAAACTAAAATACACTGTCGTATATGAGGACGCGCACAACCAAAGCAAACGACGTCTTTCGCCCGACGACTGTTCGCGACGATATATGAATTTACAAGCGGGCCCATGCGCAGACTGCGCAGACAGAAATACACAGTAAACTCATCCCTCTTTGTAGCCACAGATAAATAAAAGCAGACTGTTCTAATAGTTCGCGGAAATAGTAAACAGAATTATTCTTATAAACCCCTTATTTTTATTATACATATATTACAAAGCATGAATGAGATTTATAGTACATCAGAACTTATACTTATTAGGTACATAAAAACATATTACAAACTGACTGATATATGAGTGTCATGAGTTGAGGTAAACATGGTGTTACTTAAAATATATCTTTGTATACAATATTTGAGGTGAAAAAATATTCAGAATTAACTTTTTGACTAAATATTTTTTTAACTGAAACAATAATATCTGAGCTAAGGGAGCGGTGCGAGAGAGACAACTTTCAGTTTATCGAACCTTTAATTATTGAATTATGTGTGCGCTAACCACTGTCGTATACGGTGTATGCGATACTGCAGTCACAATAGTGCTTCAGTACAAAATACCTTTAGTGTGGCTTAACAATGGTAAATTAAAAACAAAAATAAAATTACAAATTTCTTGACTTCAGAGGTGTTATGACCATTAATATTACCTAATAACCACTCAGGGGACCTCTGAATTTTCAAATGACACCTCATTAGTGGTATTGCTTACATGGAAAAGTAGAAAAAGGGAAACTAACAAAAAAAACACCTTAGAGAAATAATATATAAGATGTGTGCGCCCACCACTGTCGTATACCGTGTATGCGATGCTGCAGTAACAATAGTGTGGCTTAACTATGGTAAATTAAAAACAAAAATAAAATTAAAAATTTCTTGACTTCAGAAGTGTTATGACAATTAATATTACCTAATAACCACTCAGGGGACCTCTGAATTTTCAAATGACACCTCATTAGTGGTATTGCTTACATGGAAAAGTAGAAAAAGGGAAACTAACAAAAAAAACACCTTAGAGAAATAATATATAAGATGTGTGCGCCCACCACTGTCGTATACCGTGTATGCGATGCTGCAGTAACAATAGTGTGGCTTAACTATGGTAAATTAAAAACAAAAATAAAATTAAAAATTTCTTGACTTCAGAAGTGTTATGACAATTAATATTACCTAATAACCACTCAGGGGACCTCTGACTTTTCAAATGACACCTCATTAGTGGAATTGCTTACATAGAAAAGTAGAAAAAGGGAGACTAACAAAAAAACACCTTAGAGAAATAATATATAAGATGTGTGCGCCCACCACTGTCGTATACCGTGTATGCGATGCTGCAGTAACAATAGTGTGGCTTAACTATGGTAAATTAAAAACAAAAATAAAATTAAAAATTCAGGGGACCTCTGACTTTTCAAATTACACCTCATTAGTGGTATTGCTTACATAGAAAAGTAGGAAAAGGGAGACTAACAAAAAAACACCTTAGAGAAATATTATATAAGATGTGTGCGCCCACCACTGTCGTATACGGTGCATGCGATGCTGCAGTCACAATAGCGCTTCAGTACAAAATACCTTTAGTGTGGCTTAACTATGGTCAATTAAAAACAAAAATAAAATTACAAATTTCGTGACTTCAGAGGTGTTATGGCCATTAATATTACCTAATAACCACTAAGGGGACCTCTGACTTTTCAAATGACACCTCATTAGTGGAATTGCTTACATAGAGAAGTAGAAAAAGGGAGACTAACAAAAAAACACCTTAGAGAAATCATATATAAGATTTTTTTTGTCGTCGCTGGCGGCAGCGAAAAAATACGATCCATTGTGGCCATATGCTAAATATTTTCTGGTTTTAGAATCGAAATTAAAAAATACTGTATTAGTTTTTGTTCAGAATTAATAATCTTTTAGTTTGTAAACATTTTAATTGTACCTTGTCATAAGCAGCTGAATTTGTTGTCGCCGTAGTTGTGTTTTACTGAGCGAAAGCTGGTGTCGTCTACTAGGCGAAAATGCGTCGTTTGCCGGTATTGTGTTTCAACGGTGACACCGCATTTTGGATAAATGCTTACGTAAAAAACAAATACACCAGCAAGCTTTCAGCGTCAAATGATTTCAGGGTAAAATTGTCAAAGCTCCCAATAAACTTAAAGGAAATAATGAAATCATCAAAACAATTTCAGTCCTCAAAAGAAAGCTAAAGGAGCATAAAGTTGCCATTGTTTTTTCTTGTTTTCGTAGATATTTGAAGCGTAGCACAACAAGGGTGCCGCGGTGAAAATAGTTCGGGAACGTCTGATCTAACGGGCTGTCCAGTCCTTGCCTTCCTTAAAGCTAAAAAATAGCAAACATCTCTGCGCACTCAGCTACAGCCGCAAGATCCCATTTCACTTGGTTAGAAGCTGTTCAGTAATATCTTATGAAGGGAAGGCCTTCACAAAATAGCTTCTGGGATGCAAATGTGTTCTCAAATGTTTCTTTGAATCAAATTTGTAACAATCGTTCAAGCAAACTTATTTTCAAAGTTGTGTACTCATGCCAGTTTATTTGCATAACACGTTGCCTCCTCACTTCTCGAGAAGGAATACTGGAAGCAATCTGTGTGTAGTGATGTTGAAATGGGCAATACACTTGCTTATCAGCTGTTCTCTAATACCTTATGAAAGGAAAGCCTTGACAAAGTAGCCTATGGGTATATACAAATATACACACATACATATTTTCCCACTGTGAGAAAGGAGTGCATTTCTATTTTCGATAGAAAAAAATNTGCAATTTATTGTTACAAATTACCATCATTTAGGTACAAACAAACACGGATATCATAGAAATCTGTTTCAAAGCAACAATAAATGTTAAAAATAAATAACTAAATTCTACAAAAGAATTCCAGGCTATTTAAAATTTTTCTGATTTTTATACCCGAGCGCCCTGCACCTACCTGCCTACGACCATGCTTACACCTTTTCACTATCACACTTAACTTTACTTACTAAGTAGTGTTTGCCACAATATGAATGGCCAAGTACAGGGCGTAAAATAATAACTGTCGCAAAGGTTTTTTGAGAAATAAAAGAGTCCTTTAAAGATTTTGCGAAAAAAAGTATTTTTGCTAACTTTATAAATAGTTTACTTTAATTTTATTAATTAGTTTTAAAACTTTAATCCTTATTTCCATTTGCCAGCTTTGGGAGATAAGTACATGCTTTTTTCGGGTGTATTTTACAAAGGAGCCAAATGGAGGAAATTAGCCTATGGTTACAGAAGATATTGTCACTACACGCGAATNTTACTTTAATTTTATTAATTAGTTTTAAAACTTTAATCCTTATTTCCATTTGCCAGCTTTGGGAGATAAGTACATGCTTTTTTCGGGTGTATTTTTTCTTAGATTTGGTATAAAAAAAAAAACTGTATGTATAGG